CATACCATAGTCATAATGTAATGCTCAATTCATTTGACTTGGTCAGCAAGATATAGAAGAACAGTAACACTTTTTTTTGGCATCTGCTAGCTGAGTATGAGTGTACATCTGTGTCTGCTTTCTGTCTTTGTTACTGAAAATCCTGTCATCATCTTTGAGATCATTTAGAGACACCATAAATGGGTCCAGATCCAGCAAGTTGGATTACTATTTTCCTTCATTGTGAAATAAGAATTAGGGCATGAGGAGTCTTTCTCTGGTGTCAGAGGGATATATAGTAAAAATGGGGCATCCTGAGTCAGGACTTTGCATCATCTGAACAATCTTGTTTGGCTCCCTAGGGAGCAGGAAAGTGAAATAATAAGATGCAAATACATAGTCACATGACCTTTAATTACAAGGACCTTGGAAGCTTTTAAAAGAGAAACAGGATTTGAGAGGAGTTCCTGAAATCTTCAAATTGAGCAGAGTGATCTGGAATTGAGGCAAATTTCTCTCTTTTTTTTCTTTTTAAAACTGACTGAGACTGCCGAAACCGGTTTGGCTCAGTGGATAGAGCGTCGGCCTGCGGACTGAAGGGTCCCGGGTTCGATTCCGGTCAAGGGCATGTACCTGGGTTGCGGGCATGTCCCCAGTGGGGGATGTGCAGGAGGCAGCTGGTCGATGTTTCTCTCTCATCGATGTTTCTGACTCTCTGTCTCTCTCCCTTCCTCTCTGTGGAAAATCAATAAAATATATTAAAAAAAAAAATAATTTAAAAAAAAAAAAAAAAAAAAAAAACTGACTGAGACAAAGGGTCTCCTAGAAAGAAAAACTGAAAGATGAAGTTTCAAAACCAGAAAAAAAGACAAGTCTGAGGCACAGAGCTTGGGGGATAAGGCTCTGAGGAGACTGTTTTCCGTTTGAGAGCAAGGAATTTGGGCTAGGAAAGACTCTCCACACCCCAATCAGAGGGCTGGGAGGAGACTTAAAAAGGTGCTCATTGTAGGCCTGGGAGAGGAAATGTGAACTAACATGGAAGTGACAAGGGCAACAAGTATAAATCCATACTGGGATAATTACTTCATGCCTGATTCAAATGTCGCTTCTCCAGTGCTGTATTGTCAACTTTTTAGAAAGAATGATTGGATGGTGGATGGTCACTTAATACCACTGAGCTGTGCCTTCCATCCCACATTTTAATTTTTCACGTTAAAAAATATCTACTCAGATGATTTTTCTTTTGTAGTTTACTCAGGTGGGTTTCTTTTTTTTCTTTTTTGCCTTGTTTTGACTATAGTATAGCTAACAAAAGAGAACTTTTTAAGGACCGAGTACTGTGAATACACTAATATGCTGAAGAGCCTACTCATTTTTCTTTTTGCGTTCTTTTCCTTTGGCCATGGGATTCTTAATTATTAGAAAAAAGAGTTCTCAGATCAACATATTAATATTTTTTCCAGACTTTCCATTTTGATTACTCCTATTTCTATCACCACCACCATCACCATCACCACACACACACACATACACACAAGCTTATCTTTCATTAAATTGATATTACAGGTCCTTGGCAGACTGAAAGTTTCAGGAGGCTGTCTCCCTCATCCTTCAAGGCCTGCCCGGACCTAACGTAGCCATGATGCCTTGTCTCTCTAAGGCAGTGGTTCTCAACCTTCCCAATGCCGCGATCCTTTAACACAGCTCCTCGTGTTGTGGTGACCCCCAATTTCATTGTTACAAATTGAACATAATTAAAGCATAGTGATTAATCACAAAAACAATATGTATTATATATGCGTTTTCCAATGGTCTTAGGCGACTCCTGTGAAAGGGTCGTTCGACCCCCAAAGGGGTTGCAATCTACAGGTTGAGATCCGCTGCTCTAAGGAAAAGCATTCAAAAAGCTATGCAGCATGTGATGCTTTGGATTGTCACAGGTGTGTGTGTGAATGTATGTGTGTGCACATGTGCTCCTGAATTCCTGAGAGTACCTTGCCTGGTACATGGCATGTAGAGCTGACTTTTAAGTTTCCATTGGTGATGTGATGGTGATGTTGGGCTTATCCCAGATTCCTAACGCTTTCATTGTTGGTCATTCTCTCCGTTCCTTCCTGTCCCTTTCTGTGGTTGATTTTGTATTCCTTGTGAAGTGTTTTTCTGTGTCTTATCTATTTGGCTCCAAAATAGCCTTCTTTTAGGGAGAGGGTCACAGCAATAGATGACAGTAAACAGTGCAGGTGGTTGAGTAGCAAGAGGCAGCCAGGATGACTTACCAACCCTGAAGCACCAATAGGAAAGAGGCAGTGGAATACTGTGGGCGGCAGGGTAGTGCTGGAGGAGAAATTCAGATTCTGAAGTTTAATTTTCAGAGTTGAATCTTGGCTTCCCATTTCTACCTAGTGTGACTGAGGAAGCCATTTGACCGAATTTTCTTCATCTATAGAATGGAGATAATACTAGATCCTCCCTCATAATAGTATTGTTCTGAGGATTAAGTAAAATAATCCATACAAAAGCTCCTAACATACTGTCTGTTACAATACATACTAGGTACCATTAGAAGTATAAAATTGTACTCATGGTGAGATAACATAGAAGAATACGTCAGCCACAATAGGTTGGCCTAAAGTAGGAGTCACCTGGGAGAGAGTGTCAGAATTTATATCAGAATGAAAGATATCTACACTAATAAAAGACGAACATGCAAATTGACCATACCCTCACTATGCCTTAAGCCACTCCCACCAGCCAATCAGAGCGGCTATATGCAAATTAACCCAACCAAGATGGCGGCCAGCAGCCACGGAGCTGGAGCAAGCAGGAGGCTTGGTTGCTCCAATGACGGAGGAAGCCAAGCTTCCTGCTTGCCGTGTCGGGCTCTGGGCTCCACTCATAGCAACAAAGTTTCTATTATAGAAGGTAAATAAACCCCAGATACCTGCTTTTAGCTGGCCGTGGCCACGGAGCTGAAGCGAGCAAGAGGCTTCCCTCCTGCCCGCCCTGGCCGGCTCTGAGCTCCTCTCAAGGCTAGAAAGTTTCAATTATAGAAGGTAAATAAATCCCAGAATAAAAAAAAGAAAAAGAAAAAAAGGAGAGGCTGGGAGCTTCCGTCGCCGGGGGGGGGGGGGGGGGGCTTGGCCAGTCTGAAAACGTCCCTCAGCCCCTCACCCAGACTGGCCAGGCACCTGAGTGGGGACCCCCCCACCCTAAAGGGGGTGTGGCCAGCCTGAAAACAGCCATCAGCCCCTCATCCAGGCTGGCCAAACCTCCATGGGGTGAGGGTCCCCACTGGGCGGGGGGGCTTGACCAGCCTGCAAACAACCATCAGCCCCTCACCCAGGCTGGCCAGGAACCCCAGTGGGGACCCCCACCCTGAAGTGGGTATGACCAGCCTGCAAACAGCCATCAGCCCCTGACCCAGGCTGGCCAGACACCCCAGCAGGACCCCCACCCTGATCCGGGACACCCTTCAGGGCAAACCAGCTGGCCCCCACCCATGCACCAGGCCTCTATCCTATATAATAAAAGGGTAATATGCAAACTGACCCTAACAGCAGAAAGACTGGGAATGACTGGTCACTATGACACACACTGACCACCAGAGGGCAGAGGCTTAATGCAGGAGCTGCCCCCTGGTGGTCAGTGCGCTCCCACAGGGCAAGCTCTGCTCAGCCACAAGCCAGGCTGACGGCTGCCAGTACAGCGGTGGTGGTGGGAGCCTCTCCCGCCTCCTCAGCAGCGCTAAGGATGTCTGACTGCAGCTTAGACCTGCTCCCTGCTGGCAAGTGGACATCCCCGGAGGGCTGCTGGGCTGCCAGAGGGATGTCTGACTGCCAACTTGGGCCCAATCCCCCAGGGAGCGGGCCTAAGCCAGCAGGTGGACATCCTCCGAGGGGTCCCAGACTGCAAGAGGGCATAGGCCGGGCTGAGGGACCCCCCCAAGTGCACAAATTTTTGTGCACCGGGCCTCTAGTAATTATATAATCTATTTAGTGTGATCCACCTTCAGGCCATTTACACATCTTTTCAGCCATGCACGTGGTTAGCCACACTGGTTATCATTTTAGGCCAGAGTTTCTTAGCCTTGGCACAATGGACATTTTGGGCTGAATAATTGTTATGGGGGTTGTCCTATGCATTGTAGTATATGTTTAGCAGCATCCCTAGTCTCTACCTACTGATGCCAGAAGTAACTCAGTATCCCCAGCCTCTGTTCTGACAACTAAAAAAGTCTCCCAACATTGTAAAAAATCCAGAACAAAAAAAATCACTTCTGGTGAAAAACCACCTAAAATTTTAAGGCATGATTAATTTTTTGGAAAAATTCTGGTTGATCTTTTTATGTTAGTTTTCTCTGACACTCATGACTCTTCTTCATTATCTGGTGCTCAAGTGTACTAGTTTTTAGGACCAGCCAGTATTTTCCATTTTTCTTTTGTTCATAGATCTATACCATAGCTCTTCTCCCTTCCTGGAAGAGAATGATGCTTTGAATATGCATTATACACTAAAATGCCAGCAAATCACAATGGGTGCTAATAGCTGACCTTCCAAAGCCTCTTTGATGTTCTGGTCATCTTATCCCTGTCTGTCCCTTGAGTATAAATGTGCATTTTCTCTGCTAGGATCAGATACTCCTAGACACGTCTACTTGGGGACTCAGAGGTGGGGTGGGATAGTTGATTTGGCACAGATCTGGAGGGAATAGTCTTTTTCTATATGTGCTACTGTTGGGCTTGAACAATGTGAAAAATTTGAAGACTATTGAGGATATTGTATAATGTTTTTGAGAATTTCAGAAACAAATACAAAGTAATAGGTTAAAGGATGTCCAAATTGTCCAACAAACAGGTCATTTGTAGTTTTCATATTGTTGTATAATTAATTATGTAATTATACAAAGTTTATTTTGTTCATTTTTAACCCTTCAAGCAAGTTTGAATTTTACTCTTAGATTTTAGATTAGTATTCCTAAATATATAATATATATTTCAAAATATAGATATTAAAAGGTATACTGTAGCCTGGTCAGCGAGGCTAGTGGTTGAGCGTAGACATATGAACCAGGAGGTCATGGTTCAATTCCCAGTCATGGCACATGCCCAGGTTGTGGGCTTGATCCCTAGTAGGGGGCATGAAGCAGGCAGCCAATCAATGATTCTTTCTCATCATTGATGTTTCTATGTCTTCCTCCCACTTTCTTTCTGAAATCAATAAAAATATATTTTTTAAAAATAAAAGGCATACTGTATCTTCCTCCCATCTCATTCTTCATCTGCCCATTCTCTCCCAATCTGTAACCACTGATTAATGTTTCTTATATGTACTTTCAGAGTATCTTTACGAGTAAACATGCAAATATAAAGATTCCTATTCTCTCCCCTTTTAATATAAAAATAGCTTATTCTAAAATAAACACTGTTCATCTCAGTTTTTGCATTTTAACATTTTCTTGGAAATCTTTCCATTAGATAGGTATTCTTAAGTGAAGGCAAGAAAAGGGGAATGGAAATAGACGACTGTTAAATAAACCTTTACAACTTAATGCTAAACAGTTTTTTAAGATATATTTTGATTTCAGAGAGGAAGGGAGAGGAAAAGAGAGAAACATCAGTGATGAGAGAGAATCCTTGATTGGCTGCCTCCTGCACGCCCCCTACTGGAGATGGAGCCTGCAACCCGTGGATATGCTCTTTTTTTTTTAAATTTTATTTTCTTGTTTAAGGTATTACAAATAGTACATATGTCTCCTCTTTTTCCCCATTGACCTTCCCTCGGCCTCCCCTACCCCCCACCCCCGCCCCCAGTGTAGATATGCTCTTTTTTAAAAAAAATATATTTTATTGATTTTTTTTACAGAGAGGAAGGGAGAGAGATAGAGAGTTAGAAACATCGATGAGAGAGAAACATCAATCAGCTGCCTCCTGCACATCTCCTACTGGGGATGTGCCCGCAACCCAGGTACATGCCCTTGACCGGAATCGAACCTGGGACCTTTCAGTCCGCAGGCCGACGCTCTATCCACTGAGCCAAACCGTTTTCGGCAAGATAGGCTCTTGACTGGAATCAAACTTGGGACCCTTAGGTCCACAGGCTGACACTCTATCCACTGAGCCAAATCAGCTAGGGCCATGCTAAACAATTTTTAATTTATAGGATATTTTATCAAATAAGGTAGAAGAATGGGAGTCATATACTTTTGCTGTTTTAAACTTTAGATATGAAGATAAACTAACAGTAACATTATTTTTATTATAATTTTAAAACAGCACTTTGACTGTTAGTTATATATCTGTCTTTATAAGGTCTGTGTGTACCATCTTCATTTCTCAGTTGAGAAACTGAGGCCCAAGAAGATTAAATAACATGCAAGGCTGTTGTTACGATAGCCCTAGAAATGGAACACAGACTCTAGTTCCCAGCTGCTGTGTAGTGAGGGGTTTAGCTTGGAGTGAGAAAGAAGCAAGTGTACTGAGGGTCTACTCTGTGCTACTTGATTTTACTTGATTCTTACGTAATTATTATCCCCATTTTACAGATGAGGCTAGTATCAAAACCCTAAAATTTAGAGTGGTAAAATAATTACCAAACAGCAAAAATAACCAAACCAGAATAAAAACTCACTGACTGCAAAGCATGTGTTCTTTGCACTTAACCAGGCTACATGCCAGAAAGCCCAGACAAGAGTATTGACCTCCGAAGAGTTTCCTCTTTCTCCTATTCCATGTTTTTAGTGTTCATTTGTTCATTCCTGCACTCTGTCCTCATCAGTTTTCTGGCCCCTCCTACTTTGCTCACTCTGTTCCAGTCACACTAGCTTCCATGTTGTTCTTTGAACACAACATGGCCTGTGGCTTTAGGACTGGCTGCTTCCCCAGCCAGCTTCTGGACTCTCTCCCTCATGTCATCTAGTACCATCTGGCATACTATATTTTACTTATTTTATCATTGGCTGTGTCTTCATTCAAGGTGTGTGTGTGTGTGTGTGTGTGTGTGTGTGTTTTACTCAATAACTGGTCAATTTCAATTATTGGTCTGTTTTATTCAATGAATGCTATAGTTCTAACTTAAGAACAGTGCCTGATACTTAGTTGGTATTCAAGAAATATTGGTTAAATTTTGAACTACACCTATTCTAGTTCTTAACTAGGACCCATTTTAGGAGTAACTATAAGCAACAGACACATAGTATATAGTTTCTTTTCTTTATCATCTGTAACAGAATTACCATTTATTGAGCAGTTATTATATGCCATGTATAGCATGCTAGTCCTGGAAACAGTTATAGCAGGGAAGTATTATTGTCTTCATTTTACAAATAAGCAACTGAGGCTCAGAGAAGTTAATTTGCAAAGGTCCTGCCTAGTAATTGGCAGAACCACAATGCCAATATAGTATTTATTCCAAACCCTGTTTCTCACCGTGACATACACCCACACCTCCTATCTCATATATCTCACATGCAAATCATCCTCCCCCGTGAATTTGTGTTGTAATATTCTGCCTGTCAAAAGCACAGATAATCACCACCACTTGCAATCCGCTGTTTTGTCACAGTATTTTCTGTAGGTTCATGGCTACTTTGAGCCTTGATCATGAGACATTAGCAAATATTCTCTTAATCATTGTAATAATAAAGCCAGTTTAGTCATTTGGCATAAATTCATAATTATTTTTGGATGGTTTAAAAATTTGTGGCTTTGCCAGTAATAACATCTCATATTCCCTAGGGGAGGTAGGTTTGTCATAAATACCATTTCCCTAGTACATTTCAAGGAACTTAAAGTTCTCGGAAAATATTTTTAACAGGCAGCCTTTTTTTTCAGACAGACTTCAAGGGCATAGTGTTCTATACCCTTAAAAGTGTATGTCTATGCCGAAACCGGTTTGGCTCAGTGGATGGAGCGTCGGCTTGCGGACTGAAAGGTCCCAGGTTCGATTCCGGTCAAGGGCATGTGCCTGGGTTGCGGGCACATCCCCAGTAGGAGATGTGCAGGAGGCAGCTGATCAATGTTTCTCTCTCATCGATGTTTCTAACTCTCTATCTCTCTCCCTTCCTCTCTGTAAAAAATCAATAAAATATATTTAAAAAAAAAAGTGTATGTCTATTTGTTTTATCTTACTAAGACTATTTACATGTTTTTCTCTTATTATTTAAAATCCATTTTGTATTTTCTATCTTAGTGGATTAAGGAAAACAGAAATGGATTCTTTAGAAGAACATTCTGATGTACTTGCAGAATTTTCTGGTTTTAATTTCCATTAGTCTTTTTTTTCTCTTCCCAGATCACAATGTTTTCAATCAGATATTGCAAATGGGTATTTTGGAGGATTAGTATAATTCGTTTCTCTTAATACTTATTCCTTGGTAGGTTGCTTTTCTTTCTTTTATTCATTCCCTTTTGAAAAGCTACAAAGAGTATATCCCTTTCCAAATCTTATTGAAACTCCCCCCCCCCTCCCAATTTTTTTAAACCCCTAGTTCCTGTAAGTCTTTAAGGCCAAAAGAGGAAGCAGTCATGTGCCAGAGTGGATGAGTTCACTGGTTTTCTTTCACCTTCTTGTAGTGTGGCTGCTGCCTGCACAGAGGCAGCGGCTAATGTGGTATGCTTGGGAAACCAAAGGTTTCCTAACTTGTTAGTGGGAAATTCCGACTTCAGAAATTTACAAACCACAACAACAAAGGCTTAGGTTTTATTGTGACTACTGAAGTCATTCAGTTTACCATGAGAAATAGGGTAGATAGGAGCCCAAAGAGTGTAACATATGAAACATTTTGATCCCTAGAGAACTTTCTTTCCCCCCCTGTTTATTTTAGCTATAGTAAATCAGTAAATAAGGGACAACAGAACTAGGAGCATTTCATAGCACTGAATAGTAAGTAGAGGTGGGGGCAGTTGGAGGGTGGAGGCTGATGCTGGGTTTGGCTTCCCACTAAGCAGTTAGATCAGGAATCACAGTGAGTGTCCTCCATATGCCCTTACCCACTTTTCCTAGTTCCTGAGGATGACTGGTTTCTGTTTCTTCCATGATGTTATAGAGAGCTAGAGTTTGGGCCATAGATAAAGTTTAGTTACAGACAGCTTTTCTTCTGGAATCTGTTGGAATATAAATTACCATTTTTCTTGTGGTCTGTGTTTTGCATGTCCTCTGTAAATTGTAAACTTAAAATTATTTCAGTTATCTAAGCCTTAATGTTCCCTTGATTGACAGTGCAGAGCATTTGCATTACATTTTCCTTTTCTGTCACTTCCAAGCACTGAGAAGACAGAATCCATGTACACAGAGTTTGATCCTATTTTTCTCTCCTCTAAGTTGGGTTCTTTTAAGATGAATGTGTTCTAGACAATAAGCATGTGTAGTGAGGGGCAATTTCATCAAGATGTTACCGTGGTTAGCAGTAGACCTGCTAGGGGTGAGAGCAACGACTTTACATTCCACTTCCCTTGGCCCTGGCTCTGCTGCTGGTTTTGTGCTTGAGTAAGAGTTTCACCCATTTAGTTATGTTTATCTCTGTGAGAAATTCTGTTCATAGCAGAATTAGAGAAAAGGCTATAGTGTGCTTCATTATGTGTAATATGAATGCCCATCCATTTTGCCCTGACCATATCTTATCCTGTGATTTGAATTCTAACGGAGGACAAACTATTTCAGGTTTGTGCTATGTAGTTGAAAAAAAGTATTTTTGAAAAAGTACTGACTTCACTATACTTCACTTTTAAAGTTCACTCATTCACACCGTTTTAGAAAAAAAGCAAAACCCCAAGTCTCAAAACAACAGAAAAGCTACCTTCAGAAGAGCCATGCATCCAATGGACAGGGAATATTAGACCAAAATCTGCTGCTGACTTAACTCTGTGACATTGCCTCATCTGCCTGTCACTTCAGATGCAACATGGGAAAGCAATACAATTTCGTCTCCAAGGTTTACACAGGTTTTTGATAAGCCTCAAATCTCACTTCCACAGAACAAAGCTTTAAAGTCCTTTCCTCCCTTCTTTCTGTTAGCATTGTATACAAATTCATGTCAAAAATGTATGCTTCCTTCCATCAGAAGAGATTTTTTTTTTAAATCCTCACCCTAAGATACGTTTATTGACACAGCACCCCCACTGGAGGTTGAACCTGCAGCCTAGGTATGTGCCCTGACTGGAAATCAAACCTGCAACCTTTTTGGTAGTATGGGATGATGCTCCAACCAACTGAGCCACCCGGCCGGGCTCCACCAGAAGAGATTTTTATGACTTGTCAAGTCTCATAACTGTATGGAAACCCTAACTGGAATTTCATGTGATTCAGATTTATTTTTGGTTCTTTATATGTCAAGGTTATAAGTGTGCTATAAAAGTTATGCTAAATTGAAAGTACAATTAAACTGAAAAATTAACACCTGGAAGAAGTGTTTAGCCTATTAGTTTCTGAAAAGGGAATCTTTATTATCTGTGTCTAGGATCTGATATATAAGCTATAAGATTTGTCTTACCCATTTGTTTTTATGTGTGCCTCGAAGGCATGGTAAGACTTTCAAGGTCAAACAGGGAGATTCCAGGCTAGCTTTTTATATTTATTATTTATTTATTTATTTATTTATTTATTTATTATATTTTATTGATTTTTTATAGTGAGGAAGGGAGAGGGACAGAG